CGGGAGCGCCGCCGCGCTCTCAAGCGGCGCACTGTAGCAGTGCGCCACCAGGCCGGCCCTATACTGTGGAGTTTAATTAATATTAAATGATGCTTGCGCTAGGAAAATGCTCATTATTATACCTAATCAAAAATGATGTTCAGAACAATTTGTAAAACCTGATTCCATTTTTTGTTAACTTATATAACTTATATATAAACTCTACAAAGAAAAAACACTATAAATAAATACACCAAAATATTAACATTGGATGTCCTGAGATTTGAGGCTACAGGGGGGTGGGGAAGGGTTATGGGGATAATAAGGTATCTAATGTTTTCTTTCTTCTAGTTTTCCAATTTTTCCTTACTCAGTGTTTGACTTATGAAAAAAACTTGCTACAAAGAGGCTGTGAGTTTACACATATTCTTTCTCTTTTCAAAAATCCCTTCCTACCTCTCACCTCTCCCAGGCTCTTCCCTACCTTAAACTCCAGCTCTCCTTAATGATCTAGGAGACACACAGCTCTGGGACCACTCCCTGTTTCTCCAGTTCCCACTTATGACCCAGCATAGGGCTCTCCTGAAATGAATTCCTCTGTCAATAAATAGAGTTTTAAAAAGTATTTAAGAAGCCATTTTTGTAACAAATAATAATGTAAAAGACTTCTTACAATGTTACTGAAGACCTTTGAGCGTTCTGTGAAAACAGGACCTTCTCACGTCTGTCTCTTCAATTCCCTCAGCCATTCGCTCATCCACATGACTCATCCATTCATTCTTATGGTAAAGTACACATAACAAAAAATTTACCACTCTGACTTTCTCACGGTGAACAACTCAGGAGCTCTGAATACATACATGTGATACAACCATAGCCAGTATCTTGTTCCAGAACTTTTTCACCACAAAAGTAAATTCTGTAGTCAATAAGCAGTCACTCCTCATTCCCTTCCCCTAGTCCCTGGCAACCACTAGCAGCCGTTTTCTGTCTCTGTGGATTTCAGGACCACTTTCCTTGGCTCCCTGTGACTTAACTCAGGATGGCAACAGAGGTCAGGAACTGATATAAGTGAGGGAAGGAGGCCAGGCCGAGACAGAAGGGTCTGTGGTGAACTGGAATGCAGGGGCTCTGTCTAGGGGGACATCTCCACTGGGCCCCAGCCACTGTGTGGGAATGTGGCCTCAGGATTCCCAGACATCAGATATTTTTACTTTTAAAAATTTATTTAAAAAAATTTTTTTTCTTTAAAAAATTTTGTCCTTTTTTATTTTTTCTCATTTTATCTTTTCTATTTTTATTATCTTTCTCTTTTTACAAACACTTGTGTCAAGAGCTGACTCAACAGATTGCAGCAAGGGCGCTGCTCTGCTAAAGACAGAGCATAAATCAGGGTTACTATTAAAAGTTTCTCAAATTTTTTTTTTTTTTTTTTGGTCTTTTGTCTTTTTCCGTGTCCGGCAACGGATTGCAACCTTCAGTGTTGCCCCCGTACCGGACCGGGGACTGGCAACGGGATCGCAACCCTCGGTGTTGCTCCCGCGCCTCGCTCAGCCAGTGAGCGGGAACCGGTCTGTATGTGGGATCCGAACCCTCGGGCGGGAGCACCGCCGCACTTCCCAAGTGGCGCACTATCCAGTGCGCCACCGGGCCGGCCCCAAAAGTTTCTCAAATTTTAAATGCTGACAGAAACAAACCAACAAAGCATCATGTGGGCCAAAACTACACAAACAAAGCACGCTGTGACCTCTGAGAGCTTCTGATCTAATAACCCATCCAGCCCAACTTCTAGCCAGCCTTCTAAGTCTTCCATCTAGTGACCCCAGCTCCTGCGCCAGCCTTTCCCCACGGTGTCTCCCCGGCTACTTGTCTCATCACCGCCTGCATCTACTATGCTGCCTGCCTCTGCAGCGCCTCTGTCTAAGTTCCACCCTTCTTGCCAAACCCAGTACAAATGCCTCTTTGTCCACAGCTTTCTTGGCTACCACTGGCCACAGGATCCATATGCTCGAACTGCAGCAGGGCACAAGCACAGGCCTGGGCACTGAACAGTTGGCCACAACAGTTTGCTAAGATGCCGTTTAATCTTAAAAGTCAGAAGCGAGTATTTTTATATCTTCATATATTCTCTGATTTATATGCAAAGAAAGCACCTTTCTAAAAAATGACCCTTTAGGGGCCAGCCTGGTGGCGCACTGCGCTAGTGCGCCGCTTGGGAAGTGCGGCAGCGCTCCCGCCGAGGGTTCGGATCCCACATACAGACCGGTTCCCGCTCACTGGCTGAGCGAGGCGCGGGGGCAACACCGAGGGTTGCGATCCCGTTGCCGGTCCCGGTCCGGTATGGGGGCAACACTGAGGGTTGCGATCC